TCCCCAATTTCTCACCTGATGGCCCCCCTGCGACTGTGCCTGTCTTAGGTTGTTCCTCCCTTGAGGAATCTTACCGTCTCTGGCTAACCAGTCATCTTCCGGGGCCATACAGGGAAATGTAAAGTTGGTAAGTGAGAGAGAAGCCATATTGTTTGAAAAGGTTAGCTTTTTACTTCTATGAAAGATTTTTGAAAAATCTTTTTGAAAGCCATGCTTTCAAAACACTGACCAAGTTCCCAGGGCCGGTGGTTGCAACAGAGATGTTAGGAATGAGCAACCAGGGCCCCCAGACAGCAGGGCAGTGGAGTGGACTTAGATGCCCTCCCGCCTCCTTCTGGAGGCCCTCCTGCTTTCTGGAAGGCAGACCTCTGGCCTTGATCCCGGCACCCTGCCTGCCAGGTGGGCCTCCCACTGGGAGGGCTCTGCTGCAGCCCCTCCGGCTGTGACCCGCTCTGCTCTCTCCCGTCTCAGTGGGGCCCCTGGACGAAGCACACTGGCAGAGGGAGTACCCTGCCTGCGGGGGGAAGAAACAGTCGCCCATCGACCTGCAGAGGAACCATGTTCGGTACAATCCCTCCCTGAAGGCTCTGAAACTGACAGGCTACGAGGACCAGGCGGGCGAGTTCCTCATGACCAACAACGGCCACACAGGTGAGGGACAGTGACAGGCTCCAGGCCGTGGGTTGTCAGCCGGGCATGGCGGGTGTTGCTGCCAGGAGCGGGCCGCGCACCCATCAGAGCACCGCCTCGCAGCGGGGGGGCCGACCAGCGGTAGGCCCTGGGGAACCCTGATCTACCGGTTTTCAAATCTATGAAATCTGGATGAGTACTAAGTTTAATAATAATGTTAACATGATGGAATTCAACACCTGTGAATTTTTATTTTACAGGGTTCTTTTTATATCTTGGAGTCTAAGATAAATACATTTATTTATATATAAATTTTAATAGATCTCATTTGTTGGAGCAGTTTTAGGTTCCTAGTAAAATGGAAAGTGCAGCCATTTCCCATATTCCCGCTGCCCCCCTACACACAGAGCCTCCCCCATTATAAACATCGGACACTTTGTTACCAAGGATGAACCAGCGCTGACACATAACACCGAAGTGCATAGTTGACCTGAGGGCTCACTCTTGGTGATGTAGGTTCTGTGGGTTTGGACAAATGCATAATGACGTGTATTCATCATCACATTGTCCTTCGAGGAGTTTCACTGCCCTGTCACCCTCTGTGCTCTGCTCTGTCACCCCTTCCCCTGCTCCCACCCCTGGCAACCACTGATCTCCATTGATCTTTTCACCAACCCCCAGTCCTGCCTTTGCCTGGATGTCTCAAAAGTGGAGTCATACAGTATGTAGCCTCTTCAGATTTGGTTTCTTTCACTTAGTATCTGCATTTAAGATCCTCCCTGTCTCTTTACGGCTTGATAGCTCATTTCTTTTTAGTGTTGACTAATATTCCATTGTCTGGATGGACCACAGCTTATCCATTCACCTGCTGAAAGACATCTTGGCTGTTTCCAAGTTTCCACAATTATGAATAAAACTGCTATAAACATCCATGTGCAGATTTTTAGGTGGATATAAATATTCAACTCCATCTGGTAAACACCAAGGAGGGTGATTGCTGGATCATATGGTAAGAGTGTCTTCACTTCTGTGGGAACCGCCAAACTCTTCCAGAGTGGCTGCACCACGTTTCACCCCACCAGAAATAAGGGAGACTTCCTGCTGTCTCCCTTATTTCCACGGTCTCGCCAGCATCTGGTGTTGTCAGTGTTCTGAACTGTGGCCATTCTAATAGGTATACATGGTATCTCCTTGTTTTAATGTGCATCTCCCTCATGACACAGGGTGTGGAGCACCTTTCCATATGTTTACTTGCCATATGTATATTTTCTTTAGGGAGGTGTCTGTTTAGTCTCTGGCCCATGTTTTAACTGGGTTGTTTGTTCTCTTTGGTGAGTTTTCAGAGTTCAGTGTGTACTTTGGATGGCAGTCCTTGATTAGATGTCCCTTTTGTAAATATTTTCTCCCAGTCTATAGCTTGTCTTCTAATTCTTTTGACATTATCTTTTGCAGAACAGAGGGTTTGAATTTTAATGAAGCCCAGGTTATCAACTATTTCATGGATCATGTCTTTAGTGGTGTATCTATAAAGGTAGTACCATACCCAAGGTCATCTAGATTTTTCTCCTATGTTATTTTCTAGGAATTTTATAGTTTGACATTTCACATTTAGGTCCATATCCATTTTGAGTTAATTTCGGTGAAGGGTGTGAGGTCTTTTTATTTTTTTGCATGTGGATGTCTAATTGTTTGTAGAAAAGATTCCATTGTGTTTCCTTTGCTCCTTTATTGAATATCAGCTGACTGTATTTACATGGATCTATTTCTGGGCTCTATTCTGTTTCGTTGATCTATTTGTTCTTTCACCATTACCACACTGCCTTTATTACACAGCTTTATAGTAAGTCTTGAAGTCTGGTAGTATCAGTCCTTTGATTTTGTTGTTCTCCTTCAGTACCGAGCCAGCTATACTGGGTTTTTTGCCTCTCAAGTTGGTTGACATCCACAAAATAACTTGCTGGAATTTTCACTGGGATTGTGTTCAATCTATAGAACAATTTGAGAAGAGCTGGTATCTCAACAATATCAAAGCTTACTACACAGGAACATGGACTACCTCTCCATTCATTAGCTGTTTGACTTCTTTCCTCAGAGTTCTGTCATTTTCCTCAGATAGATCTTATACATATTTTGTTAGGTTTATACCTAAGTATTTACTTTTGGGGGTTGCTAATATAAATGATATTGCTTTTAATTTCAAATTCTACTTTATATTTTTATGTGCCCCATTTTAAGTTGTTATATTCAACAGATATAAAATTATATTCCAATAAAAAGAAATTGAAAACACGCTTAGATGTTGAGATGCACTTAGATTGCTACAAAAGTTTCTAAGCGTATTCTCAATTTCTCTATTTTCTTAGGCCCGAGGCACCAGTTCTTCTGTGCTCAGGGGGGGAAACAACACTGTTCTCTTTCTTACTAGGTAGTGTCTGGCACTCCACTGTCAGCTTCCCAGAAAGGAGAGGCCATCTCTCATTCTCTCTACCCCAGGACCTGGCACACAGCCTGACACAGATTAGATGCATTTCAGGGGAAACAACCTGTGCATGGGAAGATTAATCTCCAAATAGAGGCCACTGAGTGGTGCAGGATTCTGAGCAGGTTTTGATCTTTGAAGGCTACAGGGGCATGGTTGGTTTTGTCTTGTCCTTTTTTTTTTTGACTTTTATTTTGAAGTAGTTTCAGACTAGAAAAATTGCGAAACTACTGCAGAGAATTGCCATACACCCTTCTCCCATTTCCCCTAATGCTAACATCTTATGACCATACTGCACTGGTACAACACAATTAACTTCTCTACAGACCTCATCTGAATCCATCACTGTCCCATTAATGTCCCTCGTCGGACCCAAGACTTAATCCAGGACCCCACTCTGCATGTAGCCGTCCTATTTCGTCTCCTCCCACTGGGGTCAGTTCCTCAGTCTTCCTTTGACCTTCACTGAAACCTTGACACTTTGCTGTTGTTTCCTGAGCACAGAACATGCTCAGATCACATGGTTTTTCTGGTCTGATCAGAACTTGGTTAAATTAGTTTTAAACAAGGGGGAGCAACTTCTGGAAGGCAAATCAATTTTCAGAATCTGGAAAGTTCAGCAAGTTGTTTTGAGGGGACAGATATTCAGCCTCACTTTTTCAATACACATTGACAAACTCGGAATTGCTGTCATTTTTCAGTCTGGCCTGTGTGATCTTGTTGGTAAACCTTGAGAACTGGGACCTCCCATCTGCAGGGAATTGTGTCTTGGGGAAAATTCCTTTTCAGGATCTCTGTCGTTGCTCAGGTGGTGCTCACTGTCCACTTAGGAAGCTCTGGTCTGGCCCTCAGCTCCCCAGTCTCACCGCACAGATGACTCTGCACATATTCTTTTAAGGGCTTGTCTATTTCATGTGAGCATTGATCCTGAGGCTGGCCACATTTTAAGCACTAAATGCAAAACACCTGCCAAATACAAACAGCCTGTCCCACATTCAAAATCTTTGAGGCCAGATTCCTACTTCCCTGCATATTGTTATGAATTTAATCACAGCCCTTGTTGCTTTAAACAATTTGGAAGGAAAGACGGGGACATTGGACAGTATCAAATATTTAATATTTGCTCTTTAAGAAGACTTATTTGTTTATAACCATCTTTGAGACTTTAACTAGAAAGACCTTGTTAACAGGACAGATGCTGGCTGTCCCTTTCCAATTCCTAAATTCTATCCTCATAGATATTTTTCTTAGTCATGCACTGGTGTTAGTCTCCATGCTTCCCTTTGCCTGGCTCATTCCAAACTACAGAGATTTCTCCAAGGCCTGAGCCAGTGAAATGAACAATTGCAGTGGTATGATCGGAGTGACTTCCCCGAAGTATGTCTGTAGGGCAGGAGGCAGCTGGCAGAGTGATCCATTTTCTCACTGGCAAGCACCAACCTTTGAATGCATCCATGGATAACAGCACATCAAATTAAATCCCAAGCCAAGAGTCTATGTGTTGTTTGACTTGTGGCAGGATGTGGTCTCTTGTCTTCTGAAGACAAGCTGAGGCCCACCGTGACATCCCATTCCTTCTCTGCCACGTTCCTGGCCCAGCTCTGCCCCCGACCAATGAACTGTGTGGCTCTGAGCAAGTCTTTCTACCTCCCCAGGTTGCCTTCCTTAGCCCTAAAATAAAAGTGTTAAAGGTCCACAGTATGTTCCTTTACATGGGGTGGACTGGACTGTTAATTGGGCGACTTCTAGAGGGCTACCCAGGATGAGGGGTCTTACCACATCATGAAGAAGATAACAACCTCCACTTAGCGTTACTAACAGTACTCAGTCTGGGGTGTAAACATCATCAAAATAGTTCTGCGACCCTGCTTCTATTCTTACACCATACCCAAATTCCAAAATTGGCCAGAGGTGGAGAGCAGAATTCTAGTTTCCAAACCCACTGGCCCTATTTTTTCAGGGCCTCCCCCTTTACTGGGACCAACAAGCTGGACCTGCCACTGTGTGGTCCTGCCCCTGACCTTCTGGTTCTGGTGGGAAGGTGTGCACCCTGGAAGGGGTGCCTGCCCAGCCCAGCTTACTCAGCCTGGTCCCCATCCTGCCTCATGTACCTCCTCCCCACGGGTGACCCTGCTCATGGCATTGCAAGCCAGTCTGTACTGGCTTGCCTAGGTGTGGCCAGGTGACCTGGGAAGCTGTCCAACCAGCTGGCCTGACCCATCCAGGCCCACCCACACAACTCCCTGCCCCCTCATCTTCTCTTCCAGTGCAGATCAGCCTGCCCCCTACTGTGCGTTTAACAGCCACCGATGGCACTGAGTACATAGCCCAGCAGATGCACTTCCACTGGGGCGGTGCATCCTCAGACATCAGCGGCTCTGAGCACACCGTCGACGGGATTAGATACGTGACTGAGGTACCCTGAGGCCCCCAACTGGGTCCTCTTTCCTCCAAACCCAAGTCACTCTTCTTGGGAAAACAGCCAAGAAGAGTGTGCTGTGGTGACAGTCAAGTTACCCTGAAGCTGAGTTTATTTTTTCATTCATTCACAACTATTCACTGTTTGCTGCTGTGCTGGGGTTCAGGCAGAGTCCCTGCCTTCTCAGAACTCAGAGCAAGTCAGGAGTTTGTAGCCTAAAGAACGGGGCAGACCCTGTTGGTTTCAGCTGGGTTTCTGTGTCTTAGATTTTCAGGGTTCTCTGTCTCACTTAGATCTGTCCTTAGGGTGACTCCAAGTTTATAGTGGCCTCATGACTCCTCTAGGGAGACCTCAGGAGAACCAGTGGCTTCGTATGATCCCTCTGGACTCTTCCTGCTTGTCTGCCTGGAGGCAAGTGGGGTCAGGAAAACACCCTTAAACTGCCATCTCCCCAGAAACCCACTCATGCTCTTCCTATTCTTGGAGAACTTTCTGGTACCGATAGATCTCATAGCCTGGATGGAGGGATGGGGTCAGAATCACCTATGTGAGACATTCATCTGAGGCCTCAGGCAGAGCGCTTCTCTGACTTTTGCTCCTTACTTAAGAGCCAGAAGCAGTTGAAGTCTATGGGAACTTCCCTTGACTTACCCCTTTGTTGCTCCCACAGATTCACGTCGTTCACTACAACTCTAAATACGAGAGCTACGACATAGCCAAGGGTGCACCGGATGGCCTGGCTGTCCTGGCAGCCCTCGTGGAGGTAGGCGGAGACTGCGCGTGACATTGCCACGTGGCAATGAAGGGCCTTCCTTCCTGTCCCTCCTCATCTGTTCCCGAGCCCACAGTTCTGGGAACCACGGTCTCACGGGAAGATCTACCCTTTTCTCAGCTTTGCTCACGGTCACTATGCTCCTTTCGTGTTGCCACCTCAGACCCTTGGGTTTGGAAAAGCTGCCTTGGAAAAGCTGGGATCACAGAAGGGCTGATGGACGTGAGCGGTCTGAGGACAGGCACCAGAGAGGCAGCACTTGGGCACTGCTCCGGAAGTCTGCAGGGTGGGCCCAGGGCTGGGGTGCAAGGAGTGGTCAGCGAATCCAACCCCCCAACATAAGTATTGAGCTAGACAAAATTGTCAGAAACAACTGTGTCAGTGTTCTGGCCATGGACCAAGGGCAGAAGTCCGGGCATTTCCTTATGAAAAATAGCTAGAATTTTGAGTAGGAACAACAGGAATCTGTGGCCTTCTTGCCTGGAGCTACTCCCACTGCCACCCCCTAACCTGGTCAGCAAGGGAGTTTTACTGGGAGGGGCTGCACAGGACAACCAGCAGCTTCACTGCAGCGGGGTGGGAGGCTCACTGGGTTTGGGATATGAGTTGAAGACCTATGTTCTGGGGCATTCTGGATAAAAGCAGCGAACTTGGCAGAAAAGACCGGAAACAGAGAGGAAACTTGCAGCTCTGAGTCTGAGGTTGGGGTGAGTGGCAAATGGCAACTAGTCAGAAATTTAATGGGGAGACCTCGGAAATGTGAGAGCTGCGGAAGGCCCATGCAAGACTCCCAAGAGGGCCTGATGCGAAGGCAAAGCTGAGGCAGACTTGTTAGCTGGCTTCTCAGCCCACACACAGATCCATCAGCAGAGGGCACCAATCGTCTGGGCCCCAGGGGCCGGAGCGCGGCCTCTGCTGACATCACGGACAGGCCACAAAGCTCTGCTGACCCCAGGGGGCCCTGGGAATCCAGGAAAGTAGGATTTAAGAATTGAGCAGGAACATAAGCTGCTATGTACTGCTGGGAAAACCTCCTGCAGATGCAGCCCAGGTGAGTTAGCAAACCACACACACACACAACCTTTCAGGACAATTTTTAAAAATGAGAATTTAAATTTGCTGCTATATATTATCCAAAATATCCAGTGTTCAGCAAAGCAGTTGAGCATGCAAAGAAATGGGAAGACATGATCTGTATTTAGGAAAAGAAAAGCGGTCCATGGGAACTGACTCCGAGTGGACCTGGAGGGATGTAGCAGATGGTACTTTAAACCAACCATCATAAATATGTTCAAAGGATTAAAAGAAACTATGTCCAAAGAATTAAAGGAAGTGACAATGACTCAAAAAGGGGGAATCTCAATAGAGAAACAGAAACCATAAAAATGCACCAAATGGGAAGTCTACTAGAATGAAAGATTCACTACCTGGGCTCAGAGCAGATTTGGGAAGCAGAAGAAAAAAATCTGTTCAACTGAAGATAGATCAAAGAAATTATTCAATTTGAAGAACAAGGAAAAAAAAAGTTGAAGAAAAATGGACACAGCCTTAGAGACTCCTGGGGACAAGATCACTCACCCCAACACACATGCTGTGGGAGTCCCAGAAGGAAGGGAGAGAGAAAGGGGCAGAAAAAGTATTGAAGAAACACTGGCTAAAAACTTCCCAAATTTGATGAAAACATTAGTCTTCCAATCCAAGATATCCACAAACCCCAAGTCTGATAAACACTGGACACATCACAGTCAAACTGCTAACAGCAGCAAGAGAGATAGCATTCATTGTATGCAGGGGGCTGACAGTACATTCATGGCTGGCTGCTCATGAGAAACAAGTCATGGGAAGGCAGCGGACTCAGCCAGGAATCCTATGTCCCGTTCAACCACCTTTTGAAAATGAGATGAAATAAAGACATTCCTAGATAACCTAAGACAGGTAACAGATGTCTTACAAGACATAGTAAAGGACATCCTTTTGGCTGAAAGGAAATGACATCAGAGAGGAACTCAAATCCACACAAAGAAATGAAGACGGCTGGAAATGGTAAATATGTGGGTAAATATAAAAGACTATATCCATGCATTTTTTTTTGTCTAAAAAAAAATCCCATATGATTATTTAAAGCACTGGGGACACCACTGTATTGTTGGGTTTGCAACGTATGTAGATGTGTGTATGTATGTGTATGTATATGTATATGTATATATATCATAGATGCATATGTGACAATAGAGGAAAGGATGGGAAGAAGTAGAGCTATGCTGGAGCAAAGTTGCTGTATTTTGCTGGAATTACATTAGTATTAACCCAAAGCAGACTGTGATTAAGTTAAGCTTTACATTGTGATCACTTGAGCCACTACTAATAACTAAAAATGGTGAAATGGTAAACAAGAAGTGTTTGTTTAACACAAAAGGTGGGATGAGGAACAAAAAAGACAGACATTTGGAAAAGAAATAGCAAACGGCAGCCATAAATCCAAGAAATCTGAACATGCACTTGGCAGAAGAAAAATGGGATCCACACTACTGACTGAAAAGAACCCTGCAGAAACAGGACCTCCGCCCATTTTTTTTTTTTGCTAAAAGCAGCTTTGCAACTTGGACTTAAAATGTCAACACTCATAGAAGAACTAAGGAGTGATCTGGCAGGGGGCAGAATTGAAGGGGTTTCACCTAGGAGCCCCGGCTCCCGTTTGCTCAGCCAGAAGTCCCTGGGGGTGAAGGGAGAGGGTGAGACCAAGCCCCTCCCATCACAGTGAATGGACTGGCAGACACGTCCCAAAGCTGGGTCCCTGGGGATGTTTTCATCCTGACTTCTGGTCATTCCCTGAGGGCATCGCCAGTCACCAAGAAGCTCCTGTCCTGAGAAGCTGCCAACATGCTTCAGATCTTGTCACCCTTGGAGACTGGTGAGCCCAGGCGGTTGGTGGCAGAACAGCCCAACTGTCTCCCCCACTCAGCTGGGACCTGAATAGGCTGCCTCCTCCCAGCCCTGGCAAGTCTGCCCAGGCAGCAGGGCATCCACCACCTGGATGGGTGGACGAGTACCGGTTGGGGGTCCCTTCTCCATTGGGTTGACAGCTCCGTGTCTCTCCTACAGGTCAAGGATGATGCTGAAAACACTTACTACAGCAGCTTCATCTCTCGCTTGAACAACATCAAGTACCCAGGTAAGGGAAGCCAGCAGCGGCTGTGGGAGGGAAGAGGAATGAGTGTGGGTGTGTCGGGGGGCACAGGAGGGTGACTCTGGTGGGAGGGTGGCAGATAAGCCCTGCCCTGGGAGCACAGCCCTCCCTGTGCACCGTCACTTGTTCCAGCGGCCCACCTGCTCATAAATGCTACCTGCTGATTCCCACAATCAGAACTTTCTGATGGCCAGAGTGCCGCTCACTAGGGATGGCCTCTCTTCGTGCTTCTTGCCTCCGTCCCGAGAGAGCTGGCTGTGAAAATCCCGGTCACGAGAGAGCTGTCCTCCGTAGCTTCAAGCTGTGAAGAATGTGGAGTGAAGCCCCTCATCATCACACCTGGACATGCAGACCCCCTGGGGCTGGTCTCCCTTCCCTCTGCCTCCAGAAGGCAGAGTTCTGGTCAGAGCGATCACCCACCCCCAAGGTCAGCCCTTGACTTTGGACAATAACCTCATCAGCGTTGAAATGGTTCTGGGCACCCCACCCTGGCCACATCCCCCGGACTCCAGCCCCAACGGCAGTCCCCACTGGCCTCCTCCATGGGCCTCCACATGCTCGTGACCAGCTGCCCTTGTCCTTTCATCTCTTCACCTAGCTTAGATCCCAGGGGCCATCATTCTGACATGCCAGGCAAATGCCCTCCACAAGCTCACCTGGCAAAAGCCCAGACCAGCTCCCACCTACTCAAAACCTGAGCCAAATGGCTGAGTGTGGCTGGACGGAAACACACAGACATCTAACTGGTATTATTCTTGGACATATTTGCCAATACCTAAACAAATATGAATGGGCCAGAACACTGCCCGGAAATCCTAACACAGTCCTCTGGGCATTTGCTCTCCCCACTCCGAATGCTGCTCCTCCTCTCTCCCGAGGCCCCTGCACCCCGGCCCCAGCTTCTCCCTCAGAGCAGGTGCCTTGACCCCACTTCACTGAGAAGAGAGTCAGAAACTCATCTGAGCCCGCCCGCAACTGCCCAAGCTCCATGTGCCCTCCTCTGTACGATGGGTGAAGAGTCCCCGCCCCAGCACCTGAGTGCTGAGCCCCCCACCTTTGCTCTCAAGGCCTTCCCACCTGTTCCTCCCGCTCTCCTGCATCCTTGACTTCTTACCCTTTAGATCCTTCTGCTCAGCACACAAATCTCTGTGTTCTGAGGTTCAAACAAACACATCTCTTGAGCCTCCTACTCCTCCAGCTTCCTCCCCATCTTTAGCTCCCCGTGGAAGAATTGTCTAAGGTCCTATTCTCTTTTCTCACCCACCCTAAGCTGGCCCCAGCCCTCCCCGAGCCTTTAAGGCCACCCCGTTGCCGGCTTTCCCGGCCACTGTTGTCCTGAAGCCATGGCCCGTTACGCCTGGCTGTCACTCTGGCCCTGCCCCTCCCCCTGCCCCCAGCTCTGCTCTTTCCTGGCTCTTGCCCTAATGTCGGCGGGCACCAAGACTTCCCTCGGTGACCTTCAATGCGTGGCCTGAGTTGCCTTCTCTAGGCTGTGGACTCCAAAAATCCACATCTGGTCCCGCACGTGATGACAGTGCCCGGCCAGCAGGTGAGGCCAAGAAGAATCAAGAGCTGGCTGGCTCATTTACTGACCATGAACAAAGCCAGCGGAGAAACCACGGGCCTGTGGTGTAAGGCACATCCGTGAGCTCACTGGCCTCAGAGATTCTACTTCTACTGACTGACCCTGATGCATTCCCTTCTCTGATGCAATCAACTGTCCCGGCCCGCGGGACGAACGTGGAGTGTGCCGGAGACGCCTGCAGAAATGAAACAAGCAAGGGACACAAAGAACGACCAGCAAGTCAGGATGTCTGATCAAGCTGGCACAGTTTATTGTTTACAGGCTCAATTTATACAAGTAGCAAGTAAGGGGTGGGTCAGGAGATAATTGGACCTTAGGTGGCGCCGGCAGGGAGGTGTAGAAGGGTGATTGGGTCTTGGTTGGCGCCGGCGGGGACGAAGGACCCGCAAGAGAAGCGGGGAGTTCGCCGTTTTGGGGGCGGGGGAGGTGTTTTCACACATCCTCAAGGTCTCCCTATTTTCAGAGTGAGGAGTCTTGGCCCATCTTCAAGGACAAGATATGTTTTTGTGAGCAGATAACTTCCAAGGACTGCACCAGTTGCTCTCACCCTTGTGCTTTCCCATGCTGCGTTCAGACGTGGGGGAAGGGACATAGCCCCGGCTCCCAACAATCAACTCCACTTCTGATCAAAACTGCCCACAACACTGACCTCTCTGAACTCAGGATTCCTTTACCCACCTGGTTACCTGACATTGCCATGTGGATTTAAACCCAACATGGCCAAAACGTAACTATCCCGCTTCCAGGCTTGTCCCTAACCCGACATCCTCACCTTAGCAAAGAGCACCATCATCCATCCTGTTGTTAAGCCCCAAATCCCGAATCCATTCCTGATTCTCCTCTGCCCATTACCTGCCACACACACACCAGCAGCAGGTCCTGTTGTTTGTAACTCCCTGTTTCCAGTTCTTTGGGGAATATATCAAAAGTGGAATTATTGGATCAAATGGTGGCTGTATGTCTAATTTTTTAAGGAACTGCCATGTTGTTTTCCACGGCACCATGGTTCCAGAGTTCCTGGCTCACTTAAATACCTTAGAGTTAAGAAACTAAATCTATGCAGTAAAAGTCCTTTACGAGGTTATATCTTGAAATCTTTCCAATGACACTAAAACTTAGAAATCTTTTGCCTGCTCATGGGATTGTGCACTACTGATCTCATGGCTTTGGTTCAACAAGCCCATTTATGTGTACATAAAACCGTATCCTCTAAGCCATTAAAAAATGCAAAAGTGCTCAGGAAAGGTGAAGTGAAATTCAGCTCACCTCCATGTTGCTTTGATAGTCTGATGCTGAGCTCAGGGGCTCAGTGTCAGTGACATGAACAAAAGAGAAATTCGCCAAATGCGGTGATGAGTGTGGGCTCTGTAGAGGCTTCAGAGACCCCATGGAAGTACTTCTCCCCACACCGTGCCTGCAGCTGAGCGTGGTTCCCAATGGATGTGGCAGCAAGAGTCCAAGATGGGAAGCCTGCACCTGGACTGCCGCTTGGTCCTGATTCTGCCTTTCTATCTCCATCCACCCAGTTCTAAATGAGCCCAAACTGGGGAATTTTGTTCCTTGAAGAGAACTTACTGAGAAGCCCCTAGGAGTCACAATTAAATGTTTATTTGTCATAAGACGTGCCCTCTGTGTAGCAATGATGGTTACCCCCATGAGTATTTTCCCATGTGCTGATTCAATGCCAGCACTTTATAAACACATTCCCCTTTACCCTCATGGTAATCTTACTGAATTTGCCAATGAGGGAGCAGCCTTAGAGGACTGAGCACCCAGCCAGTGCTGTGCAGCCAGGAGTTGGCATCTGAGGAGCGGGTCTCTCCCCACAGTCTTTGCTCTTAACCCTTTCAGGAGGCAGCAAACTTGGGAAATGTTTCCCAATGGTGGACTTTTATGTTCTCCTCAAGTCAGGAGATTTGAACACTGTGAGGTCCGAGCTGATCACCCCAAGGGCCAGCAGTGGTCCCTAATACTCCTTTGTCTCTTGTTCCCACCATTAGGGCAAAGCACATTTCTGAGAGGCCTTGACATCCAGGACATGCTGCCCGAGGACCTCTACCACTACTACAGCTACGAGGGGTCCCTCACCACTCCTCCCTGCACCGAGAATGTGCACTGGTTCATGCTGGCAGATTTCGTCAAGCTCTCCAAGGCACAGGTAATGCATGGCATCACTTCACCAAAGTCGCCCCTTCTGATTGCCTGGTTAGCAAGGGTGCTTCCCAAACCCTCACCCAACACCAACACCTGGGTACCCATGGTGTTTTCCACCACCAGGTTACTGTGCCCACTTGTACTGCCATGGTGATCTCACTAGTGCTGTGGCAGAAATGGGCAAACAGAGGCATCAGGGAATCCCAGGAAACATAGTTGATGCAGCAAAAGGACTGGGTCCGGGTCCACGGTAGAGGAGAAGAGGTGCATGGTGAAGGCGAATATTTATTGAGCGCTGCTCTTGTCGGGCACTGCCCCAGGGCCCTGGTACTCAAGACCCCACCCTCCCAGAGCTGACACTCTACCTTCATGTATGGCTTTATGCAAGAAGGGTAGCTTCATGTTTATCTTGTTATCATGCTAAAATACCCATAGCCCTTTGAGGAGAAGAGCTATAGCGGACATCTTTTGTTCCCCAGCATAGCATGAGCACATAATAAATATCTGATGAGTTAAATAAAGAAAAAATGTTGCTGAGGTTGCAAAATAAAGCTGACATTTCCTCCTGGATGATGTTCTTCCTCAGAAACATTTATTTCTTTTTCTTAAAATTTTCATTTCCCTACTCCAGGAAAAAGTGGAAAGACCCCTATTCAAGGATACCTACACACAGAAAGGTTGTCAACAATGTTGGCAGTGTCACCAGATATTTAACAGAAGCAAATGTAAATTATCTCTGGAAAAATGCACCTTAAATTCAGATCTATAAAAATTTCCACAAATAAAGTTACCTGAAATAAGCTCAATTTAAAAAAAAATCACAAAATTCATAAGGGAAAAGATAGTATGAATGAGCATCAGCAGAATCAAACCTACAAAGATTTTAGATAGTGGAATCATCAGAAAATTAATATAAATAAGAATGTTTAATATGTGTAAAGAGTTCATTATATGTGTAAGCATATTTAGTATGTCTAATATGTATGAGTTTTAAATATGATAAAGAACAAAAAAGTATAGAATGATGAGACTTAAAAAAGAAGAAGGATTTCTAGAAATAAAAAGTTACTGAAATTAACCAAATGAATGAGTTTAATAACATGTTAGACACAGCTTAAGAAAGAATTAGTAAACTGGAAGACAGAGCCAAGAAAATTACCTAAAATGCCACACAAAGAGAAAAAGAGATGGAAATATGAAAAAGAAGTAAAGATATAGAGAATACAGTGGGATGGTCTAACAAATATCTAGTTGAAATTCTAGCAGCAGAAGTAGCATAGAGAAGAGGTATGATTTCACAAACATTGAATGACAATTTTCTAAAAGAGCTGAAAAACACCAAGTCATATATTCAGGAGGCCCAATGAGTCAATGTAAATACAAAGAAACTCACACTAAACACATCACAGTGAAAGTACAAGATATCAAAGACAAAGAGAAGATTTAAAAATCAGCCAGAGAAGAAAGGTAGACTGTAATGAAAGAAGTTCTATTAAAATTGATTCAACACAGCAATAATGAATGTCAGAAAGCAGTGGGATCATATTTTCAAAGTGCTTAGAGAAATGAATAGCCAACTTAGAATTGTCCATGCAGCAAAAATGTCAAGGATATAAAAAGAGTACATTTTTAGAAAAAAAACCTGAGTTTGCCACTTTTATCTCTGTTTATATCTTTCTCTCCTTTCTATTCGTAACCAAATTGTCTGAGAGAAAGGTTAAAAGAGGTTGTTGGAAGAATGAATGGATGGGCAAATGGTAGCTATCATAACACCCAGAACTCCTCTGGACTTGAGATCTTCTCACATCTGCCTTTCCAGGGTTATATAATCCAAGCTCCAGTCTTATTTCTAACTGAACTCTTTTCAATCACCCCAAAGCCTCTCTTCTCCATAATTCATGTTTTCTTCAGATTTGGAAGCTAGAGAATTCCTTACTGAATCACCAGAACAAGACCCTCCACAATGTCTACCGCAGGACCCAGCCCCTGAACAACAGGGTGGTGGAAGCCAACTTCATGTATTTCCCTCATCAGCGTGAGTGGCGGCGACTCCGGTTCATTCTTTGCAGTTTGTTGTGTCCTGTTCTCTTCCTTCTTTGGGTGGATTTCTCTCTTATGGCAATAGTAAGGGCAGGAGAGCAGGAGGCTCAGAGGGGCAAATCGGTACAGGCTTGGGCATAAGGGATGACTCGTTTTCCCAGTCCAGGCAGTGATGCCGGTGAGTAGAACAGAGGTGACACTGAGGAGGACAACGCTGTGGTTTATTACCTACCTGGTTGTGGGCAGACAGTAGGAGAAGCAAGATGCCAGCAACACCCAGATGCTCTCATAAGGTTGTAGGCGCAAGTCAACCTTTAATCCCAACTCAAATGATTTCCTACTCACCTTTACGTTGCTCTTACACAAATCCATCCTCAACTCCTATACATTCTCTCAAGGTGGGTTTAACAAGACCACATATTTTTTACTGCATTTTCTTGGGGACCAAGCCCCAGACACCAGTGTGCTGGAAGCAGGCATGAACAGTCTTGACCGCCCTGGAACCTCTAATTTACTGGGTCAGGCTCCATCTGTATTCTTGGCTTACCTCACTTCTGTGGTTGCAAGAATGTAAATATTCTGCAATTTTCCCATCTTTATTTTGTCTGCTTCTCTGTAAAGTTGTGAACTATACACATTCCTTGAATTCACTGTCTTTACCATCTATTTGTACTAACCATCTCTAAAATCTGCACATGCTCTAATACAATAGAATCAGTCTCCAATCAGTGCTGACCACTCAATATTACTTCACCTTTAGACGCATTCTCCAAAACTTTTAAACCTCCATACACACTACTGTCCCTCCCCATAAGGCCCACTTGTGATTTCCTCCCCAGCTTTCCTTCCCGGCACACTTACTGCCTTCTCGTGCATCAGTTTGCTTTTCCAGCACAATAATACCAAAGGAAAAGTGACACCAGCCATAACGATTACTTCCCTATGTTATACTACATATGATATAAACAGTAATAATTTCTTTTTCTGAAGGATGGCTTCCTCCTAAATTGATCCAAATGCCAATAGACTAGCCAAAGGGGGCTTAGACCCATGGGGCTGCCTCCTTGTTCTCCTTAGCCATGTTCCCATTTTCCTTAATATAATTGTATACTATTCTTGCAACAGGCACAAACAGAATGTATAGTTTCCCATATGCTCATACCAAATGATCTTTCCACAAGTCGGGGGTCATCCCAACTTACCCTCGTGGGAGCTCAGGTGTTCTACATTCCACGGTGGCCCTCCCTTCTGAGGCTCACTGTTCAGGGTTAAGCTTCAGTTTCCAGTAGATAGTAAAAGGGCTTCTTCCCCAGCCCCAATCGAGGGATTGAGTGATGGCTTCCTTTGCTGCTAAGAGAACAGGGAACTGGGTGTCATCCTGCCCCCTCCCCGACCTTACCTCAAGCCCCAAACTTCTATGTGGCAGGGATGTTCTGCAGGCCACCCAGTTGCATGACCCATGTAATACCTCATAGTTCTACATAATTCCAACCCAGATGGGTCAATATGACCAACGCATCAGCAAGGACTGACCTGAGAAACCAATCAGTTACAGAAGCAAGACAATGGCCAAAGCAGACCTCTTGCAACTTATTAGGGGACACCCTTGCCCTCCAGACAAGGGTACCAAGCATCACATGAGGAGCCAGCGCCCAACACAGAACCTCCTCTCTGTCCCCCTTGGATTCTAGTGGCTTATGAGCCGGAAGTCAGACACAGTGAAGATGCGTGGAACCAAGGGGTGGGAAAGCGGCGGGCATTCTAAGGGCTCAGCAGCTCTTCTTGTGTGTCCATGTGTGGGGAGTGGTGTCTGCATGGCCCACATCCCTGTTTCTATGAGGGCCCTCAAGTTTTCACCTTTTCCTATTAACTCTTCTTTTCATGGGATGTATTTTAGGCTCTGAGTTCCAGTTTTACCTAAGCAAGATGGATCATAAACTCAAGAACTTAAGATTTACGGGACAGAAGAAATTGGGAGGAAAAGCCAAGAGCAGGAAGGCTGCACCCTGAGTCGTAGGGGAAGAGGTGGCCTCCCAGCCCACGCCCTGCCTGCCTCCAAGGAACCCTGTGTGTGGGAACCCCCACCGGGGCGCCTGTTGAATTTCTGACTGAATAAGGGGAAAGCACCATCCATGAGAGGAAGTGAGGTAGTAACTGGATGAGAGGGGACTTGAGTTAAGATGGCACCAGGGGACAGTGACTGGAAAATAGAGGCACAGGGAACGGAGCCCTAACTACCCTCAAATCACGCCCGTGGATCTAAATCACAAACCCGCCCCAGCTGTCCTGTAGCATGTAATGCAATAAAATAACTTGGGAAATGTGTCATTTACAAACGTCTCTTCCCCATTCCTTTGCACCACCTCAAATATCCCTCCTTTGCCTCGAGGGACGCCAGCAAAGGGCTAGCGGTCCAGGTGGGCCGGATTCGCGGGACCAAGATTACGCAAACGGACTTGCTTGCGGGTGGGAGGTCTGGAGCATCAGCGGTGCCCTGTGGGAAGAGGGCAGAGGAGCAGCAGGCAGCCTCGGGGCCAGAGGGAGACGGGCCCCCGCAGAGCACGTCCTCGCTGGTGCAGGGCAGGCGCGGTTCAGTGCCAGCTCTCCCCTTTTCGTCAGGTGGGATAAAAAGATAACCGGCCTCCGAATTCCTTACCTGCCCCTTTGTCCTCACCTCCCTACCTCCCTTCCTCCCTGTTGCTGTTCATCTCACCCACAGCACTTCCGGCCTGACTTCATTTACCCTTCAGGTATTCGCCGCGAAGCCTGTCATCCTGAGGTTACAAAGATATCAGGACTTGGAAAGGCCAGGCAACCTGCCCAAGATCTGCCAGGGGACAGGTGGGAGAACCAGGACCTGAACCCACGTCTTTTGTATTCAAGTTCCTTTAAGTACAGAAGGCTTCCCTTTCTTTATACAAGCTTTGTACAGCACCTGCCATGTGCAGATGGGGGCCCCCACTGGGGGTACACAGAGACAGGGCAGACATTTAAATAACCAATCACCCCCTCCTGGGGAAAACAACTGTTTAAAGCCTTCACGGAGGGGCTGGTGGACTGCCTGGGTCTGGAAGGTGACCAAGTTCACCTGGGGAGCCAAGCAGGTGCCGGAACAGACCACCGGGGGAACGGCAGAGCTGATGGGAAAACCCGCCGGGAAGTGACAGTCCTTGGGGCTGGCCGGAGGACCAGGTTCGGGGAGCCGGCAGGGAGGCGGCGTGTGGCAGAGGGAGGTCAGGCATCAGCAGTGCCTTCTGCGCCACCGAAGGATCTTGGCTTTGATCCTGGGAGGGTCGGCAGCTACTGCAGGGTTTGCAGCGGGGGATGACCTGGTCAGACTCACGCTGCAACCAGAAACGAGAGGCTGCGATGAGCCGAGGAGCTCACGTGCCTGTGGGCCAGAGACACTACAAACAAGGAAACAAAGGCGTCAGCAAACAAATCACCCATGCCTGTTTGTGCTTGAAAACATGGGGAAAGGAACCAAAAATAACAGTTACCTACCACAGGGAGGAGGGTGACGGGGGGACAGTGGGAGGAGAGAGACTTTTCTGGATGCACCCTGTTTGGTAATTTTGACCTTGGGACCTTAGGTTTTACATCATTTTAAGAAAATTAAAAGATTTTTAAAAATGCCTAAAGCTTAACCTAAAATGTAAAAATATAGTAAAATGATTGAACAACTATATACGTTGAGTTGATAGCATAAAGACAGAGAGAATTTTTCTAAGCTGTTTTAAACACAGTATTTTTACTATCATACCTAGTGGGTTATATCCTAAAGACAAGACCATAAAGAAATCATAAACAGTTGTCAGGAATTGTGTTAGTAATAACAATAGTATTGTTATTTTGAAGCTCTGGGTGTTGTATGTGTGATTATTATATTGCTACACATCTGTATATCACTATGTTTATGTCCTTAGTAATTTTCAGCATAAGAAAACAGATCCAAGTATAAAATCAGAAAAGCTATGTAAAAGCCCGGTAATCATACATTTGAATTGGAAAGATCAGTATGAATCTGTACATTCCTTTTCTCTTCCTAAGGCATGTATTTCCTAGCTCTGTCTACTTTTCAGGGCTAGAACAACAGTAACGCAGTGGCAGGGAACATCTTATGCCCAGACAGGGGTCTCTCAGTACTATTGCCTGAGCAACCAGGGCCCCTGGGAGAAATGGCTGATTCCTGGGGCAGTGAGATACAAGCTGAGTCTGGGATATCTTTTTAGGGCAGAAAACAAGAGATTAGTGTTAAGACTCCTGCAGTCATGCCCAAAAGACACAGGGGCCATCCACAAGGGGGTCCTGGGACAACTTCAACATTGAAAAGATAATATCAGGAAAAGAAGAGCTGCAATTGATTGAAACACATCATATAAACAGAAAAGCATGAGCCCAGAATGGTACTAAAATAATGAAGAAAAATTCACTGGTCCACTTTGGAGGTTGCTAGGGAAACCCTTTATTATTTGGTAAGCTGGCAAATAGAGGGGAAAATCGAGTATCTGCCCTGCCTTTCCTGTCCAAATTGCATTTCAGAGTCATCTCAGAGTTGGCTGTATTCGTTATCCACAGGCTGCTGTAGCAGACGACTGCAAACTGGCTTAAAAGAACAGAAATGGATCATGGGAAGATGGCGGTGTGAGTAGTTCAGTGGAAATCTCCTCCCCAAAACATACATATTTATGAAAATACAATAAATACAACTATTCCTAAAAGAGACACCAGTGGATGCAGTGCAACAGCCAGGATACATCTACATCTACAAGAACTCAACATGACATGAAGGGGGTAAGATACAAGCCACGGCCAGGCGGGATCCGAAC